AAGTGAGAAATTACATACGTACCACCCCCAAGGATAGTCACACCACAATTCCTTCTCTTTCCATTCTCCTTTCAGGATCTTGGGCATGCACCCAGCATGAGTTGGTCCCAGACCCAGCAGCTTAAAACTCATGCTGGGTGCGAGTGTGTACGTGCCCAAGAGCCCAAGAGGAGGACAGAGGAGAAGGGACTGCAGCATGGGTGATTTCTCACTTTCTGTCTGCTTCTCCAGCATGTGCAGGAGCAAAAATCTCTCTAAAAAGAAAAATTTAATTAATTAAAGAACCAGTCTACATTGTTTCTACAGCCTAAAATTTTTCTGTCTTGCCACTAAAATTTCAGTGTTTTTTTTCCCCTTGACTGAATTTGTAAAAATTATCCATAATGAAAGGCATTCATAAGAATTCTTTAAAAAAACTACTTACCATTTTTTTTCTTGATGGTTTGAGGAAGTACTATTTAATTTCTCAGAGTCTCACCAAAAGAAGCTCAAAAATAAGTTTCTATTTCCAAGAGAAAAAAAGAATTAAACTCATTTTTTATCTTAACTCAAATGTGCTGATGGTCTTGTACTTTTTATTATTACTATTATTTACATTTAACTTTATTGTACATTTAAGGAAAAAGAGCCTCAAACAGCATCATGTACTTAATAAAAATCTGGCTATGGAAGTGATGAGGAGATCATACCCAACTCAAGCCATCTAGTCTACTTCCTCTACTCCCTCTTCCTCAAAGGCCTCTTTGCCAGTCTTCTAACAACCCGGTATATTCCCACGGTAGGTCTTGTTAAAGTACTCTGTCCTGAGAAAGCTGTTTCCCTAAGCAAACTGTTTCCTTAGGAAGCTGCTAAGTTATAGCCAATCACAGACATCTCGCCTTTTAAACTGTGTTAATGTAGATAAACCTCAAGACATAATTAATCCAATTATTTCTCCACCTCATTCCCCCACTTTCGTTCTTGTACATCACTTTCCCCCATTTCTGCATAATGGACCCTTCCTCTCATCGTCTGTTCAATCACAAGGCTAACTGGAGTTCCTTGTTAGTCATTACAAGATTCCCTAATTTGAACTGTTTTTGCTTTTTTTTTCCCCCTCAAGTATATCCCACTAAATTAAATTGTTGAAGTGTTTTTTTGTTTTTTTTTTTTTAATCTGGACACAAGGTGTGCCCTTTGCCTGAATGCTGTCGACAGAAACAACCAACTCTGTAAAAGGTAATAATTAATGTGGTTTATCTCTAAGCAGAATATGATTGACCTAGGCTGGAGAGGAGGCAAAACATGCCTTTCTTTCCGGGTGTTCAGGTACAGGGATTCCTTTTATTTGATTTTAAGAAGAGAGACAGAGTTTGGAATTTAGTGAAGAGCTTTTCCATTGGTCTGGTCCAAAAAGGCAGGACATGTAGAAGCTGAAGGGTTGGGGAGGAGCTTGTAGGTTACAGGTATGGGTTTTTACAGTTTTTAGGATGATTGGAAAAGGAAGGTTGCTGAGATCAGAAAAGGAATGTACTTTAATAGTGATAAGGAGGCTTAATATACGTCACAAAGATACTCCAATACTATGCCAGGGGCAGGATGTGGGAAGAATCCTGCTATTAATGGGTCAAAATGGTCTGTTAATGCTTGTGGGATTGACTCCCTCTAGGCCCTCTGTGAAGGATTTTGGAAAAATTGAAAAAAGCAATCAGATTTCTGTCCACAATGCTTATACTCAAATGTTTATATGGCTAATTTCCTCACCTCTAAATCTCTGCCCAAATGTCAGGTCTTACTGACAAGACAAAGCTTATTTAAAATTGGTTTAGGGCTAGACCAAAGCATGGTTATTGGGTGGTTGAATCCCACATGGCTGACTGTGCAGCTCCAGTACTGGACTAGCAAGCATGTGTATGCATAGCCAAAATCCAAAAAGGAGAAAAAAGGGATTGTGATCGTCCCCCATGGCAGGGGCTGCTTTCTTACTTTCCCTCTCTCTAAGCACACATGCCCTCTGGCAAGTTTTTTGTCTAATTGCTTTAGGGCCAGCAAATGGCAAGGTGGTTAAAGGTGCTGGATCCCACATATACGAATGCATGGTTGCATAGTGTGAGTACAGGACCCGGAGGCTTGAAAAACACACTGGGTATATGTGCATGTGTGCCCAAAGTCCCCAGAGTTCGAGAATGGAGGAGAAAGGACTGCTCCATGGCCTTCCTCCCACCAGAGAAATTTTTTCTCACTTTCCTTCTCTTTCTGTGTCTCCCACAAATGTACACACCTTCTAGGAAATTAAAAAAAAAAAAAAAGCTTTAAACCTTGGAATTGCCCTTTTGTTTTCCCATAGCACTAATCACTAATATACTCCTTCCTTATTTATTCTGACATTCTGACAACATCCTCTCAGCCCAGAATGTTCACTCAAGCTATCTGAAGACATAAACCAGCGCTGGCACCCTAGTCTTACTACCAGAATCAGGAGATAGGCCTTTGCTAAGTTAGCACTTACCTTTTCATGCTGAGTGCTAACAATGCACTTAATAAAAACCAGACAGACAGAAATTTACCAACAAATACCCTAAACTAAAAGGTAGAAATAAGGCAGTTCCGTCTGAGGACAAAAAGTTTGACTGCTTTTCCTTTTTTCCAAAATCCTTTCAAAGGGGCCTAGGGGGAGTCACGCCTACAAACATTAACAGACCATTTTTTTCCATTACTGAACCCTGGCATAGTATCTCTGAGATGTATATTCAACGCATTATAGTATGTTCTTTTGCTTATCTTTTCCCAAGACACAGATCTTTCCTTCCAATCACCAACCTAGGTGCCAGCAGGTGGCGTGGTTAAGAGCGCTGGACTCCCACATGGCCAACTTAAAAATTGTGGAACCCACTTATAACCTACAAGCACCCAGCTTCCACATGTACAACCTTTTTGGGCAGGACCAATGAAAATCTCTTCACTAATTTTATCTTTCACTCTCAAAATCAAACAAAAGGAACCCCTGTACCTGATCACCCTGAGAAAGGCATGTTTGCCTCCTCTTCAGGCCTAGGTCACACATATTCTGCTCAAGAATAAACCGCACTGGGACCAGCAGTTGGCTTAATGGCTATGTCACTGGACTTCCACGTAGTCAATTATAGTTCAAGTCCCGGACCTGGTAGCTTAAACTCATGCCAGGCGTGTGTGCCCAAGATCCCAAAAGGAAAATGGAGGACAAGGGATTGTGGCATGGCCATCCCCCCAAATAAATTAATTAAATAAACTGCATTATTAATTATTAATTTTTTAGAGTTGGTTATTTCTCATCAACATCTCCGTGGTGAGACTGTGCCCCTGGACAGGTCAAGGAGTAGCACAAACTGTAAGAGATCACAACCCTCACCTTTTTGGATTCCAATACAAAATTGCAGTTCTCTGTGGAAAGATATTAAAAAGGGTTCTTCCTGTTTTTCTTTTTTTTTTTAAATTAAAGCATTGGGACCAGCAGTAGGCGTAATGGCTACGTCACCGGACTCCCATGCAGTTGACCATGGTTTGAGTCCTGGACCCGGTGGCTTAAACTCACAATGGGCGCGTGTGCATGCAAATCCAAGATCTTGAGAGGAAAATGGAGAAGGGATTGCCAGCGTTGCCATCCCCCCTAGGGGGTGATTTCTCGCTTTCTGTCTCTGTCTTTCTGGCAAGAGCAAGCGCCCTACAGCAAAAATTTCTGCAATAAATAAATAAATAAATAAATAAAGCATTGCCTATTATCCTGCTACAAACAACTGAACTGTATTCCTTATATAGAGCTGTCTTTTTTCTTCTCCCTTCTTTTCTTTTCTTTGGTCATAGGGCGAGAGGCAGTGATAGAAGAGGGAAAGCGAGAAATTACCCCGCCACGGGGGATGGCTAGGCTACAATCCCTTCACCACTCTCTTCTCGGGGATTTTGGACATGCATGCACACATAACTCGCCTGATTTTCAAGACACTGGGTCGGAGACTCCAACAGCGGTTGACTATGCAGGAGTCCAACGTCCGAACCACCACGCCACCTGCTGGCCCCGAGCTGTGTTTTCTTAAACATTTACTGTTAAATAAATACAATAAAACAGTGCCAATACAGAGCTCAGCATTATTTGAATAAATGAAAGAATGAATGACGTTACTGTACACTTACCCACTTCAGTTAGAACAGCCGCTGTTAAAACCGGAAGACGCAATCGCAAATGCTCGCCCAGATCTGTTGGCTAGAAATTAGTTTCTTCTAGCCGCCGGAAGTTAAGCGCGGAACCCATTAGAGAGAACACCCTTTATCTGTACATCTCCTCCCTACCCTCTCCTTCTTATTTCAAACGAAAACGGCTAGAACTAGGGGGACAACGTACAATAGTTTATCCCTCACCTGAAACCCGACTATAAAAGGGAGCTCCCTTAACTATTACGCAGGGACAAGAAACGGAACCCGGAACTACCTGGGCAACTTCAAGCAGCGCTTTGGGCGCAGCCGTCAACTGAAGGACCACTTCCGCCCAGTTCCCTTTCCACGCCCATTTCCACGTGCTGGGAGCTCAGGCTCAGGACCGGAAGTGACGCAGAAGGAGCATATCCGAGAACGGTGCGTGCTGGGCGATTTAAATATCTTCGAGGGTGCGTTGTGGCTTTCGCTGCAGATTCTAGGGCTGCGTCAGATAGAGTGGACAGAAGAGGAGAGCAGGATAAAAAGCTGACCTGTTGAATGAGAGCAGAGGGTGCGGGTGCACGTGTGTGTGTGGCGGTCCTGCCTCTCGGAATTTTTACTCGCTGTGTCCCCTGGCGCTTCACAAGTGATGGAAAAAACCCTAAAGTGGCACTGAAATGGAAGATAGGGGAGATAACGTGAAGGGACCAGTTTACAGGTTGTGAAGGAGGCCCTACTGATGTTACTTGACCTAGGAAACAGAGCTTTCCCTGGGACAGCCCGTATTCCCAGGTTTGGGTATGTGTGACTGACACTAGACTGTTTACAGCACATGACTTGTTTCCCTTCGGGCCGGGGTGCGGGGTAACAGATGTTAAGTAACTTAATTTGCCCTTGATTACACAGCTGTGTGTGTCTAGAGCAAGAAAGACTCCATATTTGAAACTTGTATGGAAGTGAGACGTGTGTGTAACAGTGATTTGACCCCCACTCTCATAAACGCCCCTGTTTATCTAATATGCAGAGGAATCTCATGTGGCACCCTAGATAAGGATTAACGCTTGTTCTCTTTTTTTGCTTTATCAAGAGATTTTTTTGCTATAGGGCACTTGCACTGTGGGAGAGACAGAATGTGAGAAATCACTCCCTAGGGGGTATGGCCATATCGCTATCCCTTTTCCTTTCTCTTGGGATTTTGGGCATGAGTACAAACGTGCCCGGCATGAGTTTTAAGCCTTGGGGTCTGAACTTTGAGCTGTGGTTAACTACGTGGCAGTCCAGCAATGTAACCATACGTCATCTGCTGGTCTCTGGCTTTATTTTTTCTAGCTATGTTGTGTGTTATGTATGCTTAAATGTCAGTTATGTAAGAAAATGTATAACTATACCATTATAAAAGCAACATATACATGATTAATAGAATTTAGCTCCTAGCTGGATGTAAGCTGAGTCCTCTAACACCTACATTTGTATGTAGAAGCTTAGATTTTAATTTTAGTTTGACCCTAGTTGCAACTCTCATGTGAGAATCTGCACCTTACTGGGTAACTGTGACTGCTGATTTGTGTTTGTTTAAATGACAAATGTCTTACAGTGTGGAAAGACAGTCACTTGTCCTGCTCATGACACTGTGGCCCTGAGATTCAGTCTGTCTTCAGTGTAAGTGCTCTTCCCTCCCATATGGGTATGTTCTACCACATTATGTCCAAGGGGTCTTTTGAATGTTATTTAACTCAAAGCCTGTGTGGTGGTTCATGAGGCCTTCACTTTTGAGCCTGGCAGATTTAGAAGAGTATGAGGAGTGGAGTGTTGTCAGGATGTTGAAACTGGAGAGTGGCAATTGTATTAGCACCATTAGAAGGTCTTCCAAGACATTTGGTGGGTTTTAGAGGCCAAGTATCACTTCAAACAATACATCAAGTAAGTACCGACTATCTAATTAAATATTTTTGCAGTAAAAAAGCTGGAGAATCGCTTCTCGGCCTTTTGGCTAAGATCAAGTGTAAAAAGCTGGGAAAAAATAGTTTGTGTTTGAAATAATTGGGTTATGGATATTTTATTACATTTACAATCGACTATGCTTTCATGTTAATTATTGTGCATACTTTGAGATGCTCTTCTTCAAAAGCAGAAATATTTATAGGTAGTAAGTTTATAAATGGTGTTGACATCTTTTGAAGTTATTTGATGGAACTGAGGACAGAAGTCTGACTACTTCTAACTATTTCTAAAATCCCTTCCAGACAGCCTGGGGTGAGTCACGCCCACAGACATTAACAGGCTATTTTGGCCCATTTGATATCAGAAATCTTCCTATATCTTGTCCCTGGCATAGTATTCTTGTCATGGGTAAGTCATGCCCACAGTCATTAGCACCATCATTTTGACTCATTGGTAACTGGACTCTTCCAGTTATCTTGTAACTATATACAAGCCCCCATATCTGTGTTACTAATTCCTTCTCAAAACCTACAAGCTCCCTTCCACATGTCTCTCCTTTATGTGCAAGGGCAATGGAAAGCTCTTCACTAAATTTTCACTCTCAAAAGCAAGTAAAAGGAACCCCTGAACCTGATCGGCAGGGGGGGGGGAAACCCCCCCTCGGCCATGCCTCCTCTCCTGCCTAGGTCTCACAAATTCATGCTTAGAAATAAACCACGCTAATTATTATTTTTACAGAGTTGGTTATTTCCATTGACAGAACGTTTGTTAATTTTGTATTTTCCATACTATTCTTTCCAGTTTTTATTTTCTTTCTAACTTTTCTTTCTTTTTTTTTTTTTTTTTTACTTTTTTTTTTTTTTTTTTTTTTTTTTTTTTTTTTTTTTTTGCCATAGGATGTGTGCACTCACTGGAGAGAGACAGGGAAAGTAAGAAATCACCCTCCAAGAGGGGCGGCCATGCCACACCCCCTTCTCCTCCATTCTCCTCTCTGGATCTTGGGCACACATGCACACACACGCCTGGTATGATTTTCACCTGCTGAGTCCAGGACCTGAACTATAGTTGGCCATGTGGGAGTCCCTTGCCTTGACCACCTCACCATCAGCTGGCCTCTTTCTTTTTCTTTTCTTTCTTTCTTGTTTTGTTTTTGTTTTTTGATTTTTTTGTTATATAATCCAGAAGGCATCTGTACTTGCTAGAGATAGAGAATGTAGAAAAAAGCAGCCCTCAAGGGAGCACGGTCACATTGCAATCCTTTTTCCTTCACTTCTCCATCCTTTCAGGATTTTGAATATGCATGCATGTACATGTGCCTGGTTGTTTTTCAAGATGCTAGGGCCAGGCTTTTAACCAGAGTTGAGTTTCTAGGATTCAGCTCCCTTTTCTCTAGACCATGCAACCAGTTCCCTTTCTAGTTTCTTTTTGGAGACTTACAGGCTGTTTGGGCAAACTGTCCTGTACTACTACCTCTCCTACCTCTTCTTTAAAAAATGTATTAGGGGCCAGCAGGTGGCATGTTGTTAAGGGTGCTGGACTCCCACCTGGCCAACCACAGTTCAAGTCCCAGACTTGGCAACTTGCTTTCTCACTTTCCCTCCCTCTCTTTCTCTCTCTCTTTTTCACTCTGTCCCTCTCTGGTCAAATTTTAGTTAATTGATTAATTAATTAATAATAAAGTTTAATAAAATCATTTTAAAAAATGAATTATTAGTCTTGAATAATTTTGAATGTTTTATAAATGGAATCCCAAGTTTATCCTTTTATAACTTGCTTTTCAAAAATTTTTGCCAGGACCAGAAGATGGTGTAATAGTTACATTACTGTACTCCCACGTAGTCGACTGTGATTCAAGTCCCAGACCTGATAGCTTCAAATTCATACCGGACATGTGTATGTGTGTGCCCAAGATCCTGTGAGGAGAATGGAGGGGAAGGGATTGTGGTGTGGCCATCCCTCCTGGGGGATGATTTCTTGTTTTCTTTCTCTTTGGTGAGTGCATGCACCCTGTAACAAAAATCTCGCCCCCGTAAAAAAAAATCTCTTTAAAATTTTTTTTTTTTTTTTTTTTTTTCCTGGAGAACATGTACTTACTAGAGACAGAGGGGATAGGAGAAAACAAGAATTCCTCATGGGAATGGTCACATCACAACCTCTTTTCCTCCATGTCTCCCCTCCCTTCAGGATTCTGGACCTGCATGTACATGTGCTCAGCATGTTTCTCAAGCTTCTGGGTACAGGGCTTGAACCAGGTGGTCAGCCATGTGGGATTCAGCTGCCCAACCAGCAGGCCACAGTCTGGCCCAGTACTTACTTTTTGAATTTTTTTTTCATGATAGAGCATGTGCATGCACGTGTGAGAGAGAGAGACTGATCACTCTGTGACTGGTCACTCTGCAATCCCCTTCCTCTAGCCCTTCAGAATCTTGTTTGCCTGTATGTTTTGATGCCTCAAAGGTCCAGGCCAGAAGTATGTATGCAGACCATTTTCTGTGTTTCTGCAGACATTCAGTTGTACCTGATTCTGTATGTTGTCATCTTGTGCACGCCTGATCCCCACGACAGTCCGCCTGGTCAGTTCCACAACCTGCACTTCTCCCCATTCCTTCATGGATTTGAAGGCTCTCCTTTCCTCCTTGAATGACTTTGCATCCCTCTCATTTGCTGAGAGTTGGGACAATGTTGGATTACTGGTGGAACCCAGTCCCCCTCACATGGTAAACACACTCTTCCTGACCAACGACTTGACTGAGGAAGTGATGGAAGAGGCGCTGCAAAAGAAGGCAGATCTCATTCTCTCGTACCATCCGCCTATTTTCCGACCCATGAAGCGCATAACCTGGAAAACCTGGAAGGAACGCCTGGTGATTCGAGCTCTGGAGAACAGAGTCGGTATCTACTCTCCTCATACAGCCTATGATGCTGCACCCCAGGGAGTCAACACCTGGTTGGCTAAAGGACTTGGTGAGAAGCCTCTTGTTCATTCTTTCTCATTTAACATTTTCTTTCAAATATTTTGAAAATTTAGAATGTCTTGCCAGTAGACTTTTAACTGCTTTAGTGGTGGTAGGGAGGCATTCTATTTTTTTTTTTAGAGAGAGATTTTTGCTGTAGGGCATGTGCCCTTGCTGGAGAGACAGAAAGTGAGAAATCATTCCCCAGGGAGGATGACCATGCCACAGTTCCTTCTCCTCCATTTTTATTTTGGGATCTTGGGCATGCGTGCATATGCACCTGGCACGAGTTTTAAGCCGCTGGGTCCTGGATTTGAACCGTGGTCAACTTAGGTGGGAGTCCAGTGATGTAATCATTACTCTATCTGCTGGTCTCCACATTGTTCTATTTTTATGTATTTACAAATAGTGTTGCTGAAGAAGCAAGCAGATGGCGTAATGGTTACGTCACTGAACTCCCACCTAGTGGTATGCAGTTCCAGTCCTGGAGCCTGTGGCTTAAAACTCATACTGGGCACGTGTGCATGCGTGCCCAAGATACTGAGAGGCAAATGAGGGAGAAGGGATTGCGTTGTGACCATTCTCCCTGGAAGATGATTTCTTGCTTTCTGTCTCTGTCTCTCTCTTTCTCTGTCTCTCTGGTGAGGGCACATGCCCTATAGCAGAAATCTCTCTCAAAAAAAAAAAAAAAAGATGTTGCTGAAAACTGGCGATTAATTTGCATTTGAAAAATGAAACATTTTCCTTTTTTTTTTTTCTTTAAATATTTATTTGTTTTGATTTTTAAGCTGCTAGGCCCAGGACTTGAAGGACAGTTGGCCATGTGGGAATCCAGTGTCCCAACCACCATGCCATCTACCAGCCCAGAAATTTTTTATTCTTAACTGCCCCAACCTATGGGGCAAAGGGACATGGAACCCCAAGTGGAAGCTATCGAGTGGATTGAGAAAAAAACACATACACAGACACACAAATAGAGGAAGCAAGGATCTGATATACCGGGCATCTCTGTTGGACAATGCCGTGGCCCCAAGCAGTTCTGTGCTCATTCTTTTATAGGGAAGGTAAAGCCTCATGCTTCAGCCATGGAGCACCTCATGTCGCAGGTCTCCTGGTTCCAAACAACCTCTCCTGGCCTTCTCTGGCTGACACACAGGCTCAACTGCACAGCAGTAGATTATGTCATTGTTTAGAGCTTTTGCATGCCCTGCGTTGTGAGTGCAAAGACTATCTACTTTAAGACGTTCCCTGCACTTAATCTTCATTGCTCGACTGACCTTCTCAATTCCTTACTCATAAGGCACAGTGCCTGGCATCCAGGCACTTGAGAAATGCTCATTGAGGGACCAGCAGTTAGTGTAATGGCTATGTCGCTGGACTCCCGTGTAGTTGACTGCGGCTGTGGATTTTTAGATCATCTGACAACCTGCTTAAACTCAGGCCGGGCGCGTGTGCGTGTGTGCCCAAAATCCTGAGAGGAGAATGGAGGAGAAGGGATTGTGGCGTGGCCATCCCCCCTGAGGGGTGATTTCTCGCTTTCTGTCTCTGTCTCTTTCTGTCTTTCTGGCGAGTGCATGCGCCCTATAGCAAAAACCTCGGGGGGTGGGGAGGGGATGCTCTTTGAATTGAAAACTCAGGCCTCTGCAGGATACACATGATATGTCAGTCAAATCAACATCATGTTTCATTGAATGCTTATTTATGCCTCACACAATGAGGGAATTAAACATGTAGTTTACTTACCCACTTTGGGCTGAAGCTTTTATGATGATATATTTGGATTAATGTGGTCAAGTAGATTGTCAGCATTTGCAACCTGTACCATGGTGTACTTGGGTAGGTTTAGTACAAAGTAGATGGTTGTCAGATGATCTAAAAATCCACATCTCTCCACCAGAGAGATGCAGAGAGAGAAATCACACTCCAGGGAAATGGTCATTCTGCAGTCCCTTCTCCACCAGTCTCCTTTAAGGATTTTGGATATGAATGTACATGTATCTGGTGTGATTTTCAGGTTACCAGTTCTGAGACTTGAACTGTGCAGTTGGCTGTGTGAGATCCAGCACCTTAACCCCATGACATCTGCTAGCCCCGATAACAAATTTATTTATTTATTTATTTATTTTGGGAGAGGTTTTTGCTATAGGGCACGTGCGCTCGCCAGACAGACAAAGAGAGACATGGAGACAGAAAGCGAGAAATCACCCCCCAGGGGGGATGGTCACGCAGCAATCCCTTCTCCTCCATTCTCCTCTCGGGATCTTGGGCACGCACACACACGCGCCCGGCGTGAGTTCTAAGCCACCGGGTCTGGGACGCGAACCGCGGTCGGTTACGTGGGAGTCCAGCGACATAGCCATTACGCTAACTGCTGGTCCCACAAATTTAATTTTATGGGGGCCAGCAGGTGGTGTGGTGGTTAAGGTGCTGGACATTCCCACATGGTCAAGTTCCAGACCTGGTGGCTTCCTTTCTCACTTTCCTTCTTTCTGTGTGTCTGTTGTTCCATGGTCAAGTTAAAATAAATGAATGACTAAATAAAATTAAATAATTCTTTAAAACTAAATTAATTAATTTTATATGTCTATACCAAATCCCTAGATTATGAGGATTGGATGTAAATCTAACAGGTATGTTGTGTGTGTGTGTATTATAAGAATTTGAAAAATACTTGTTACAAATTTTGCCTATAATAGTTTGACATTTTATTCTTAAAAAAAATAATAAACTCAAAAACTCCCTTTTTTGCGCAATTTTTTCTCCAGGAGTTTGTACTTCCAGGCCTATACATCCTTCCAAAGCTCTCAGCTATCCCACAGAAGGAACTCACCGAGTAGAATTCAGTATTAACCATGCCCAAGATCTGGACAAAGTTATATCTGCGGTGAAAGGAATTGTAGATGTTTCTGTCACTTCTTTTCCTGCTAGGTACAATACAATTTTCTGGGGGTTTTTTTGGTGTGTGTGTGTATGTGTTTATATGTAAGGAGCTTCCTTACAAATCTATAACCCTGATATTTAGGTTTGAAACAAATCATTTTTCCTGGGGTTGGTTTATAAAGCAGTGTATGTCTCATTCACATGTGGGTCCTAGAGGAGGAGAACTGTGGAATCTTTTCCAAACAGTACCTATGAGGGACCAGCAGTTAGCATAATGGCTATGTCGCTGGACTCCCATGTAGTCGACCACAGTTCAAGTCCCAGACCCGGTGGCTTAAAACTCAAACCGGCACGTGTTCATACATGCCCAAGATCCCCAGAGGAGAATGGAGAAGGGATTGTGGCGTGTTCGTCCCCCCGGGGCGTGATTTCTTGCTTTCTGTCTCTCTGTCTCTGTCTGTCTGGCGAGCATATGCGCCCTATAGCAAAACAACAACAAAAACCCTCGGGACCAGCAGTTAGAGTAATGGCTATGTCACTGGACTCCCACGTAGTCGACCATGGTTCGCGTCCCGGACCCGGTGGCTTAAAACTCACACCGGGCACATGTGTGTGCGTGCCCAAGAGCCCAAGAGGAGAAGGGATTGCGGCGTGACCATCCCCCTGGGGGGTGATTTCTTACTCTGTCTCTCTGTCTCTCTCTGTCTGTCTGGCAAGCGCATGCACCCTATAGCAAAAACCTCTCCAAAAAAAAAAACAAAACCTATGATAAGTTATACTTACTTAGTATTTTCTATATGTAAAGGATTACATTATGCATTTTATGTATAGTATTTCTGGTCTTCTGTTAAGGGGGGCGGTAGTTGTTTTTATTTAAAAAATATAGATAGCTCTAGTGATAAACATAAAATCATTTTAACCAATCCCATCAAACCAGTGCTTCCCAAGCACTTTAAAGGACAAATATAGTTAAGTACTGGTACAAGGTGAGTCATTTAATTATTTAGAGTAGGGTTTCTTTCAGGCTAATTTGTTCCAGTGCCCATGGAAGCATTTTCTTGATTCCAATTTTTTTGGAAAAGACAAATGATACAAAGTTAAGACTTAACAGTTATTTTTTTTTAAATGAAGGTAAATATTGGTCATCTGTAAAGACGTGATGCATTTTTGCATAGAAAAAGACATCATAACTTTTCTGATGACCCAATATAATGACTTTACTAGAACTGGAACTAGCTGGGATCATGGGCACTGTGCCCCTGGCGTGCTCGGGGTTGGGAGTCCTCAGAACACAAGTAAGGGCCTTTTCCCTGTGGGTCGAGTTGCATTACCACTGCACTGCTACCTGGCCCAGCATTCTGTATGTGTGTTTCACCATAGGGCACATGTACTCATTGGGGGGTGGGGGGAATAGTGAGTAATCCCCCCTTAGAAGGGAATGGCCACATCAAAGTCTCTTCTCCAGTCTCCTCTCAGGATTTCTGGCAAGCAAATACACACTCTTGGAGTGATTTTTTTAAGCAAGCTGCTGGGTCTTGAAGGCAAGCTGTGCAGTCAGACCCAGCACCTTAACCTCTACTCCACCTGCTGGCCTGCATCCTGTGTTTTAATAAGTTCTTTAAGTGACTCTTGATATATGCTACAGTTTGAGAAACACCATTCTAGAAAATATGTTGTTTGTGATTAAATGGATTCTGTTGGTTAATTGCTTCATTTCATGTAACTGGAACCTATTATAACAGATATGTAAACTGGATTATTTAAAGTACCTTTTGGTTGTATTTATCTTAAACCAGTGATGTGTGGGGTATTATTTTAAACCATAGGATTGATGATGAGGAACAAACGCGCATCAGTCTGAACTGTACTCAGAAGGCTTTGATGCAGGTGGTGGCATTTCTGTCCCAGAACAGACAACTTTATCAGAAGACTGAAATCCTGTCACTGGAAAAGGTAATAAGAATATTCATGTTTGATTTTATATTACTGTGCCCTTTTTTGGCACCATAGGACACATGTGCTTGCCAGAAAGAGAAAGAGGGAGAAAGGAAGGTTCAGAAAGTGAGAAAGCACCACCCATGGGGAATGGTCATACTGCAATCCTTCTCTCCTCCATTTTTCACCCCTTTAAGGATTTCTGGCTCATGCACACACATGCCCGGTGTGTTTATCAACCTGCCAGGTCCAGGAATTTAACCTCATAGTCAACCATGTGTGATCCAGTTGCCTTAACCACCATGCCACTGGCTGGCCCTTAACTGTGCATTTGTTTTTAAAGAATTATTTTATTTAACTTTATTTATTTACTTATTTTTTAAATTGACCAGAGAGAGGGACAGAAAAAGAGAAAAAGTGAGGAAGCAAGCTGCCAGGTCCGGGACTCAAACTGCAGTCAACCATGTGGGAGTCCAGCGGCTCTAACCACCATGCCTCCTGCCGGTCCCAAGTTTGGTTTTTTTTTTTTTTTTTTTTTTTTTGATCAGGGAGCAGGTGTGCTAGCCAAAGAGAGACAGAGAAGGAGGAATAAACAGAAAGCATCCCAGTGGATGTGGGGATGCTACAATTCATTCACATCCATTTCCCCATCTAGTTGGAATTTGTGATATTGAATACTTTTTTGTTATTAGTGTTTTGGCCATTTGTATGTCTTCAGCATTTGTTGTTATTATTTCTAATTTGACGAGACAGAGAGAGAGAGAGAGAAAGGGAGAGTGAGAAAGCAAGCCACCAGGTCTGGTACTCAAACCAGAATCAGCCATATTTCCCTGTGTCTCTCTCTTTCTTTCTCTCCAAAGAGCACATATGCCCTATAATAAACTTGAAAAAGAAAAAGAGGGACCAGCAGTTGGCGTAATGACTATGTCACTGGACTCCCATGTAGTCGACTACAGTTCGAGTCCTGGACCCAGTGGCTTAAACTCACACCAGGCATGTGTGCGTGCGTGCCTAAGATCACAAGAGGAGAATGGAGGAGAAAGGATTGCCGTGTGGCCATCCCCCTCGGGGGGTGGCCTTTAACCACCAAGCCACCTGCCCCCAACTGTGCATTTTTAATACTAAAGTTTAATTAATATACAAAGAAGTGTACATTTTAATGTGTGCAGTTTGACGTGTTCCATTGCTCTGCATTTTTGTTAAGAAAATTAATTTGTAAATTGTTAGGTTGACAGGCCAGTAGTCACCTGAAGTACAAAGTGGCGATGAGGCACAACATGCCCTGGAAAGTACATTGTGGAAGGGAGGCATTTCAGGAAGAGGAAAGGGAAAAGGTTAGTACTTCTTTAGGATTATAGACGATCACAGGTTTGGTCTTCTCTCTTTCCTTTTTGTTTTTTTTTTTTTTTTTTTTTTAGAGGTGTTTTTGTGCACTCACCAGAGAGACAGAAAGCGAGAAATCACCCCCCAAGGGGGATGGCCACGTAGCAATCCCTTCTCCATTCTCCTCTAGTGATCTTAGCCCCACACGCACACGCGCGCCTGACGTGAGTTTAAGCCACTGGGTCCAGGACTCAAACTGTAGTTGACGACATGGGAGTCCAGCGACATAGCCATTATGCTGCTGGTCCCTCTCTTTCTTTTTCAAGTTTATTATAGGGCATATGTGCTCTCTGGAGAGAAAGAAAGAGAGACACAGGGAAAGTGAGAAATCATCCCCCAGGAGGGATAGCCATGCCACAATCCCTTCTCTATTCTCCTCTTAGGATTTTGGAGACGCATATTTGCCTGGTGTGTTTTTCAGGCTGCCAGGTCTGAGACTCAGACCGTGGAGTTGGCCATGTGGGATCCAGCTGCCTTAGCCTCTACACCACCTGCTGGCCTGGTCTCTTAATTTCTGCTCTCTGCTCATACCTTTTCATTCAGTCTAACTTGATAACAATTTGTACCATGGCAATTCCTGTATTTTTACATTCTGCCTCAGGATGCTTTCTTAAGGGGAAAAACATATTTCTACCTGCTGTCTGGATATTTTCCACTGACAGATCCCACAAGTATGTCAAATCCAACGTATATGTTCCTGGGGAGACTCAACCCCTGGGATTTCCACCCAGGGGAGGTGGGTCTTTCACTTGGTGCAGGAAAGAAGTTGAGAATGAGGGAGAGTGAAACGGTTTAATAAGAGCATACAGAGCAGATTACTCTACAGGTGGAGCAGCCCCGAAAGGCGAACATTTTCATTCCCTCCTCTGGTGGACAGGAAGAAAGAGTTAGCCCCGGACTTTCATGGCTGACTCCTTCTGTGACTGCAAGCCTTAAGGGGAAGGGGAAATCCATTACCTAAAATGAAAACTATGGGGCCAGCAGATGGCGTGGTAGTTAAGGTGCTGAACATTCCCACATGGTCAACCACGGTTTGAATCCCAGACCTGGTGGCTTGCTTTTTCACTCCCCGCACCGCCCTGCCCCATGTTTCTCTCTGGTCAAATTAAAATAAATGAATGAATAAAAAATAAATAAATAAATAAATCTTTAAAAAAAAAAAAAAGGAAAGCTAGAAGGGCTGCCAGCCCTGAGCATCAGTGAATATCTGACTTATGTTGCTTGGCTTATTGCCAGTCTGAATAAGGAACTGTTGACTCATGACTTTCCTGGGCAAGGGACAGTGATTTTCCTGGACCACTGTCCTTCCCATTTTCTGGCCTTAGTAGAGCAGTTCTAGTTGTTGTGGTTATCGTGAACTGTCATGGTGCAGGTGGAAGGTGTCATTCAACATGCTAATGCGGTACAAGAGGGTACAGTGAGTTTATAGGTTAGGCAGTTGCAGGCGTCATTGTGGTTCCAGCTAGTTCAGATCCAGCCTCAGCTATTTCCTGTTGCATCAGGTTGTATTGTTTTATTGTAGGTGTTGGAATGTCGTTCTCTTCAGTCCTCCTGTCTCCTATACAATAACTGACCTTATTGTCACCCCATACATTCATCTCTTCTCTTTTTTCCCATTTCTTGGGGGTATATTTGTCTACCTTATTTTCCAGGTTTCTACAATTCCTCCCTTGATTTTCCAAGGCAGCCCTGCTGATTCTGTCTCCATGTCTATAAAGAGGTTTTCTGTATTAGTTCTGTCCCCACAGTAGTGGAACTCACATCCTCCCTGACTGGGCACCCAAAGGAGAGTCCAGGCCTGTTAGTGTAGTGTTTGGACCCTGTAATGATCCGACTGCAGCCTGTGTGCAGCCCGCTTTCCTTCTCCATCCAGTTCTCTGCGGGCAGCCCACTGTCCACTCGTGGGTCTGCATGTGTTCTCATGCCTCTGGCATGTTGGTAAATTTCTATCTAGAATGCCTTTCCACATCCCATCCTACCCGTATCCTGCCACAATAGACTTGACATCACCACCCCTCCCTGTTTTTTTAAAGAGAGATTTTTGCTGTAAAGCGCTTGCACTCACTGGAGAGACAGAGAGGCAGAGAGACAGAGAGCAAGAAATCACAGATGGCCACACCACAATCCCTTCTCCATTCTCCTGTCAGGATTTTGGCCGTGCATATACACACATGAGTTTCAAGCCACTGGGCCTGGGATTCAAACCACTGTCAACCACAAGGGAGTCCAGTGATGTAACCATCACACCATCTGCTGGTCCCCCTTTTTATAGTCCTATCAAGTGTTTCTCTAGGACCCATGTCTTTGTAAAACTTTCCCTGATTCTTTTTCCTCTGAGCACCCCCACACCACAGTCTCAGCTCACTTCATTTGTCATCCCTTTGTGCTCCCAAGGCAGTTGTACCTACCTCACCTTTGAACACTTGTGTTTAAATCATTTATTTAGAGGTCTGCCTGCCTAGGAGGCTTTGAGCTCCTAGTCACCGTGCTTTTGTCAAGTTTGCATCCTCAGTCTGGCCTGCCACGTACTCTAGTGAGCTCACAGTGTGCATATTCACTGATTTCAGCATTTGTTCTTTGTTCTGTAGGTTTGGCTTTTAGGACTAATAATGGACAGTGTTTCTAACTTTCTTTTTTTTCAGCCTTTGCTTCTACACACTGGAATGGGCCGGTTGTGCACACTGGAAGAATCTGTCTCCTTGGCCACCATGATTGAGCGAATCAAAAGACACCTGAAATTATCTCATGTTCGCTTAGCTCTTGGGGCAGGGAGGACATTAGGTAAGTATTTGTCCTTCGCTTGTCTAATATACCTATGATAACATGGGGCAAAGGTTGAAACTCAGTTGGATTCCCATAAATGACAGAGAATGTGCTGGCAGCTCACAGGAAGAAAGGGGTTTACTTTATGATCAAGGTGGGCTAGGTCATGCTGTGGATGCAGGAACGTGTGGGAGCAGGGACGATCAGGCCCAGCACTCGCAGCGGGTCATCGGTTCTTTTCTCACACTCACGAAAAGTTAGAGACATGTCCACACAGAGAGGGCATAGCAAAGTGCAGAGGTTATTGAAGGAGAGGGAAGGAAAAATAGCTCCGAAGAAGAAGGGCAGGGCCCCAGAAAATGGGTTGTTAAGGAAGAACTGGGATAGAGGGCTTTTATCCAGCTGGGAGGAGCCTGTGCATGCATTCTTCTCGTGGCAGGAGGTCACACGTCCTATTGGTTATGCTAAACCTTAGGGTGGTCTCATAGTCATGAGACCCCATGTAATGCAGCCAGTTGGAAACTGGTTTGTTCATAAGGTTGTTAATTTGGAAAAGGTCACTATGTCAGTTAACTTTAAAGGCCTGGTGATCCGTATCTTGGAATCCATGCCCCAGAATCAGGGAGGGGTTTGCCCTTCAGGGAGTGCCTTGCCCCATTCTGGTATTTGTGATAATGCCCTTACATTATCTTATGTGTCCTGGGCCCTGGACTATGTCCCTCTGACCTTTTGGTTTTTGTCTAATTGAGTCTCATTGCAAAGGGGCCATGAATTCTTTAAGAATAAGATTTACATGTCTGAGGGCAAAGGAATATGGCAACTGGGAGAGGAGAGGAGTTAGGGTCAAATAAAAAAGGGGAGAGATTTTAACAGTCAGAGGCCACACAGCACAGCGGCTCTCTTCTCTGGCGCCCCTACCCTATCTACCTGTAAGGCCCAGCTCCTGTCTCACTGGGAGATATCTCAACAGCTAGGGATTTATTTCCAACCATACTACATGCTCATAAGTCTGCAGAGGAAATCTCTTCACTCTACCAGAGGAACAGCAGTTCTCAAGGGTCTTAAACCATCAGTTAAGAATTCCAGACTGGAAATGATATGTATCACTTGCTCAGCTTTTTGTCCAGAATTACTCACATAGCCCAACAGCCCAGGGAGGGCATGAATGGGGTCCTACCATGTGCCAGGAGGAGAACTGAATCATGGTGGCTACAGCTATAATACGAATCTCGCACTTTTCAAAACTGCTGATACTTCACGTGGAAGTGCTCCACTACCCCACTGCACGTTCTGAGTCCTGCGGCCACTGTCTTTTCTTCCGGCTTTCCCACAGTTAATTTACTACTGATGAGACCGGGAGACAAAACTGCATTACCATCTAGATTCTTGGTACAAATTAAAACACTAACATGAAGACAAATTATAATTATAGGTCTCTAATTTTCTTTACTTTGAAGAGTCCCAAGTCAGAGTCGTGGCCGTGTGTGCTGGTTCTGGGAGCAGCGTTCTACAGGGCGTAGAGGCCGACCTCTACCTCACAGGTAGGGCAGCCTTCACATCTCTTCTAATTTTGGTTTATGTTTTACAAAGTAGGAGGAATGGATTTTAGGACAGTGCCTGGAGCATAGATGATATCTAATGAACATTTTTTTGAACCTGAGCTAAATAGTAACCACATTAAAACGGGGAACATACTGTATTCTTTGTGGAGAGAAGAAATCATTTATTTCTTTGTTTGTCTGAGTCATATCCAATCTATGATCATACATTGTGTCTCATTGTCTTACTCCATTAGTGCTGATACAAAAGAAATACCTGAGACTTGGGCGGTTTATAAAGAAAAATCACCCAGATTTTCTGGTGTCTGGAAGTCCAAGAGCATGGGACCAGTATCTGGCCAGACTCATGCTATCTTACAACGTGGCCAAGATAAGCCTAAAGGAAAGCAAGCGTTTGCGAGAGAGAGCCCTCTGGGTGACCTCCTTCCTTTTTTTTGTTTTAGAATTATTTATTTTATTTTTTATTATTGTTTTCAAATTTC